TTTGTGTGTGTTTTCACATAAAAAGCAGACGGAGGTTGCAAGTGGCTCACTGAAGCGTTCAGCCTCCACTGTTGCGGATCAGCGGGTTAATGGTCTTTGGCAGGAAGAGAAGAGTCCTGAGCGAGTTTATCGACCTCGTCACAAGAGCTACAAGGCTGCAGGTTAGTCCTGCTCACCTACTCCTATCACGTCAGTTTGTGTGCATACAATGTGAAGCATTCATTTTATTTCCATTACTGGTGTTAATATATGGGAAAAGACCAATAGAGGTAATTATTAGCTTTGGGCATCTTAAAACTGCATAATAAACTATTAATATTAATATTATATTCTGGTTGACATCGCCAGTAAGATGAAAATATGTGTGCCTGATTCACTCTTCTAGATATCTTTATATTTAGCATTACATTTTGAGGAACAAAATATTGTTGTCACATTGTTTTTTTCTCTTTGTCTGTCATTTTATGCTGTCTCCTCTCCTGAATGTCTTCCCATTAGTTTCTCGGTCTGAGCACCGGCAGCAGGGTGACAGGGAGCGTGGCCGGTCTAAGGAGCGCTGTCACCTCCTGTCTCCAAATGCGTCTCGTTGTAACTCAGAGGAAAGAAGCTTGCAACCCTCACGATCCTCTAGTGCAGAGAGAGCACACACTCAAGATAAACAGGTAGGTCGGGGAAAAAATACTTTAAAGATCTCCTCCAGACACGTATTAAGACAATCTCAGTCTATTCTTTATTTTCAGTGTATTAAAATCAGATTTTTAGTGAGCACAGAGAAATTTTCCACTTTCAGCCGATGAATGTGAAAACATCCTTCTAGTGTCAAACACGTACATCATTCTCTCCAAGTATTTGTTTTTGCAGCCTGGTCACATTCTTTTATTGTAAGATATTAATAAGAATATTTTTTCTGATATGTCACAACACAGTAAATGTTGTGACAAAGATGTCTAAAGTGATTAGACAAAAGCCTTCCATAACAAATTTTCTTTGTTTTTATTTATAACTTGCTGAAAATCATTTATGTGGACAACAGAATTAAAATGAACCAGTAAAAATATAATATAATTCTATACAATCATTTTGAATAGCTAAAAAAAGATACTAAAAATATAAAAGAAAACAAAAAGAATCAGCAATAAACTGGCAGGTGGGAGGAATTGGGGGGGAAATTGGCTGCATCTTGTTTGTCTAGCTAATACATATAAACTTTATATTTAATTTTCATTTTTAACCTTAATATTGTCAGTTTAGAGGTAAATTAATGGTGCACTCCTCTGAGTTACACTTGAAGTTCATCAGGCGTGTCATCTCAGCTTGTGCCTGGGCCTTTATAACAGAGAGTTATAAACTGAAGGCAGGAGTTTAAAACCTTAGCTGGCAGTTTGACCTTTCTTTTTTAATGCGTCAAGCCTCACAACTTTGTGGAAATACGACATTAAATTGCTGGAATGCCCCTTTAATTTTTGTTTAAGCTGCCAGATGCTCTGGAAAAGACAATAAAGTGACTGTATGTATAATTTTTTTGTTTATTCTCGTCTCCAGGGCAACAGCTCGGACAGTCCGGTGCCCTCCACCTCAGAGTCCAGCACCCCCAGCGGCCGACGACCTTCATCACAGACCCCGACCCGCTCTCGCCCCCACATCTCCTACTCCCCACTCGTGTGTCGCACGCACCCCTCCGTCGGCGAAGACGAGGACGAACAAGGCAGCCCAGAGACCATGAGGCGGGGCAAGCCCACCTGGGAGACCCAAGAGGGGGTTGCAGGCGAAAGGGGGAGCGAGGCGGGCCGACACCCGTCCCCACCTCGACGCTACCCCTCAGAGCCGTTCCTGGCCTCCCAAGAGGACGACCACAGCCCAGACCCCTCTGGTCCAATGGAGACGTTGACCTTCGAGGCGGCCGTGGCCTGCAGCCTGGGACGCTCAAACACCATCAGCTCTGCCCGCCCGCGCTTGCGGACTGGCTGGCAGGTCCCCAACGGACATTTTCGGAAGCGCCTGGCGCAGACAGCCTCTGTTGCGGGCTGTGATCCTCTCAGTGACACAGAGGAGGACGACAGGTGCTAGGGACAGGAGGCACAGCGTGAGGGAGGAGGGGGAATCCCAGAGAGGTGTTAGAGGACTTTGTAGGACAGTGTGCAGAGTCAAAGTCATTGTGACTCTTTTTGCATCAGTGCTTCGAGTCCGTGTGCCCTCTGGATGTTTGGTAAAATGTGAACCCAAATCGAAAAGAACAATACTTCCTGAAACTGTAGTTGCTAATTCACACAGAACACTGACAATAAATAAGGTCTATTTCCTGACTTGTACTTGATGATAGAGAGTAATAATACAACACAAATAGTTGCGGGATGCAGAAAATAAATGAATGGATCAAATTATGTCATTTGTGTCGATAGGTATTTTCATTTCTGAAGATGTTTCTAAATGATTCAGTGTTGCTCTTAACAGTATTTATCTGTGGGGTGTGTGAATATGTAACTACATTTTCTTATAGACTAATTGTTTTGTAAATACATTGTGATCATCACACCATTGCCATTTATTAGACCAGATCAATACAGGAAGCCATCACGAAGAGGCGATCTGATACTTTACCAGACAATGTGGATACTAATAAGTAACACTCAATAATGCTGGATTTTTTTACAGTATGAATGAATGTGCAGGGGGAAAAACTGCCTGATTTCCCCCGTCATTTTTCTTTTTGGTATTGAACATAATAAGTTGTGAGATACAAATACAGTAATAGAATAACATAGAAAAAGATGCTTATTTGTTATTTCACCCTGCGTTATTGTTAAATCATGCCTCCAACAAACCTTTAAAATTACTTAATTAAGACAAAACAGTCAAAACAGCCTTTTTATTTTTTACCAGTCTACACCCTTTAAATGAGAATTGTCCAACAGTTATATTTAACTTTTGATTTTGAGAATTGTTGGGCGTGTAATTTCACCATGAACTGATAAGAAAACAAAACGATCTTTCATCTATTTTCACCTTTTTCTTCCTTGTGAATATTGTACGAACCGTTGCAGACGATGACTGTAGAAACACTGTAGACACACCATGACACATTTGCTTCACAAAATAACATTACTCTATTACTTACTAATAATGTACAGAGAAATTATGCTGTTTGTAAACATTTAGAGAAAAAAGATAATAAACAGTATCAGCTGATGAGCTTTAAAGGTAAAGGAATCTTTGGAAATGTTCATTTTAAGGTTTGTGTTTTTGTTTTATTTGCCTGAAGAAGGCCAATTCTGTGAAACTCACTTAACCAAAAACATGGAGATTTGTATCATAAGTTTCTGGAATGCAAATACTTTGTGGGTTTTTATGTGTACAATAGCTGTATATACAAATAAAGGTGTCCTCAAGTTGCCACTGTTATTGGATATCTTTTTTATATAGAGCCTGGAGCCTCAGTGAGACCTTGAAGGCAAAAGGCATTTGTTTGTGTTGTTTGTTGTTTTTTAATGTATTTTCTTAATTTACTGAAGTTATTAGTTGTTAACATTGATCACACTTGTGTCATGTTGGCATATTGTGTTTATACGTTGTTAACACAAGTCTCTGTCTGATGATGGCTTTTGAAGATAGTCTCTCTTTATCTTACTGACACTTTTTCTATATACTATATGGTAATACTATATTGGTGCATGCAGAGAGTGTCTTGGAAAGGGGTTTTTATCAATGGAGTGAAACAAAAGAGTTTGAAGGTACTACAGCTTATTTGAAAAGAAAAATTACATTAAACAGCAAGCAAGAGCCAAAAAGAATTTAAAATCATACAACTGTAAAATATAATTGTGTAGACACTTATTAAAGGCCCTTCACACCAATGGTTCACCCACAAAGGTGTTTTCACTTATTGTGTCTGATTAGACCTCTATAAGTGTGTGGGAGTGTGCAGACTGTGGCCTTTTTCCCAGCAGACGATTTGACTTGTCATAGTAAGAAAAGCACAGGTGTTACTAATAACATTAACGATGGTTTCCATTCTGCTCAAGGGTCCCAGTGAGACGCGACAGTGTGAAAGCGAGCCAGCCAGATCAGTAAGAATAAGTGAAAACAGCTGTGTGGGTGTGCAGGGCATTTAATGTAATTTAGCAGCGTTTAGCAAAAACTGTAACATCTCAAAGGAAATAGCAGACACACTCATGTATTCTCCTCTAAATTTAACATTTGGTTGAAAAAAACATTTATAAATCAATATAGTAACATTTACAGAAAATCTTTGGGTGATTGCATTGAAACCTCTCTTGAACAGACAGATTTAATTTGCAAAAAAAACCAAAATCTTCTCAGGATTTTTTGTTAGATGTAACTGATTCCAAGGGGAGTCAGTCACTTGACTGTAAAGAAAAGGAAAAATATAGTAGTTTAAATAAATGAAAGACATATAATTAAATATATAATAGAGCCACATACCAGGTAATCTACAGGTATTACATTCAAAACACAGTATAACATCTTTTAAAAGATTAAACTTGACTGAAATTTTTCAATAAAAATACAACTAAAGAAAAGGTAAGTGATGGATTCTGGCTCCTTTTTCCAAATAGCATGAAATTAAAAAGAAAGTAAATATAGTAGGGTATATGTTTGCTGTGCAGGATTTTTAAATATACTCCTCAATCCATCTTGAATATACAGAATGTGTGTGTGGTAAAAACCAAGTTTTATTCCAATTTACTGTATATCTAATAATAACTTTATTACCATGTAACACTTTTATATACATTTTATTATTTTAAATGCTTATTTGTTTCTTATAATTATTGATTGATCAATGAATTAACGCATCAATAAACAATCATTATCACATTGTCATTGTTCTTTAACACTGGTCTTTATGTATTTGGTTTGTCATTGAAAGGGGTGGGACTTTGACGCTCTCTCGGAATGACGTAAAAAAATAAAAAAATCATCCAATCACCGCGCAGCATTACACCTGTACGTCATATCCAACGGACGATTAACATGTCCTCCCGTTGAAGAGAAAAAAAAAAAAAAAAAAGCTAGCAAGGAAGTAAAGTGTTTAATGTCAGTCGCGAAGTTAAACGGCGGAAATGTCGCTGCAGCCCAACACCCAGACCACTCAGTGTTACAGCCGCAGCCTCTCCTGAAGCAGACATTGTGTAGAAATCCGTGATTCTTACGAAGGAATGAGCGATACTTATCAAGGAAGTCGCCCAGCTGGCTAGCGAAAAAGTAAGCTAGCTAGGCTGCTAGCTGTCGTTAGCAAGGGAGTTCTTTGTTTTGTTTTCCAGGTGGAGGTCCGTGTAAACATGAAGAGAAACTAGTGTGGACGTTTTGCTGTAGCGTTTGTGTATGCATTGTATAATGGTGTCGCATGGTTTCTTTTGGTAGTGAGTCATTGAACTGTTCATTTATGGTTTCTGGGACATTACAAAGACTAAACTAACATTAGCAACCGAGAGCAACTTTAGCAACAAACATCGGGGTTTTTTTTTTTTTAACGTCGGGCAGGGCAGGACTGGAGACACGAAGACATGGGCAACTGTCTCAAGTCTCCGACATCAGACGACATCTCTTTGCTCCATGAATCCCAGTCAGACAGGGCGAGCTTCGGGGACGGGACAGATCCAGACCTGGAGCCACCTCCGCCGTACCAGGTGAAACAGACTGCTAACACTAAACTTCCAGGGTGTTTATTCGTGTCAAACTATTTCATGTGATCAGAATTATAATCTGAGTTAAAAGCGTTAATTTTAATGTACAGTAGGTCATACGCCTGTTTCACGTGTGGCCTGCCACCAGTGCAGTAGTCAGTGGTGTAACTGAGTAAACAAACTGGTTTTTAATGGTATTCTCACGAACTGGCCTGTCAAGAATTTCCACACCAGACAGCTGCTTTATTTTTCAGTTTATTTGCTGCACAGATCCTGAGCAGTCGGACCACTTTGTGTGGACAGAGTGAGCTGACATAAGAGGATAACATTTTGGTGTTTCTTTGTCTGCTACCAGGAGCAGGCTCACATGCCCATGTACCATCCCACGCCTAGTCAGGCCCGTCTGGCCACCCAGCTGACAGAGGAGGAACAGATCCGCATAGCTCAGCGCATCGGCCTCATCCAGCACCTCCCTAAGGGTGTCTATGATGGAGGGCAAGACGGCTCGGAGAAAAAGATCAGAGAGTGAGCTTTTTTTTTGTTTGCATGTGATGTTTACACAGGGGAAGGTTGCAGGTCACCAGAGCTGAGCAATCTTAACGGATTCAGACCTCATCACTTCAGTATCCATATTATGGCACTTTTTAAATGTGACAAATATTTAGTCTAAAATTAGTATGGATGATATGATCCATGGGGAAAAAGTCAGTAGGAATAGTTTTATAATGCAAGTGAATCTGTAATTGTTTAATTTGACTTGTGCTGAAGATATAACTCGATTCATCAGTTTTCTAAATTGACCAACAATTTTGATAATTGTCAGTCTGAATTGAGGGTGTCGTACGTTGTACATCTAAAGCCATATAAAGGAAATTAGTGATATCTTTTGTGGCGGGCGGGGGGGCAATTTTCAAATTGTCTTGACTTGAAAGTCAGTTATCAAGCAGAAAAGCTAACATTGGCTTATTATTCCTAAATATTAGGATGTGTTTTTTTAAGTCATTTGGAGACGTCACCTCAGGCCCATGGAAATTTTAATTTTGTAGTATTTTTTAAGACTTTTTTTGGCGTTTCTTTTGCGCATTTCGCAGGCCACTGTGGAGGGTGGAGACCCCCGCAGCAATCTGCAATTACACCACTAGCTGCCACTAAATCCTACACACTGGAGCTTTAAGATTAATTGATTTGAAACTAAAAAAATCACATATAATATGATTTCCACTGAATTTATATAAAACTGAAAACAGACAAATTCTCACACTTGAGAAGGTGGAACCAGAGAATAGTTGTTAATGATTAAACATTAAATGATTAGTCGATGATCATAATTGTTGCTACTCTTTTTATGGCTGAACTACAGTAATTGATGAATCATTCCAGTTCTACATTCCTGTAATGCATCTTTTAAGACCTGAAAGTCATCTAAAGATATTATAACTTAAGTCCTCGATGATTTGTAGCCTCACGTCACACTAGCGGCTTCATGCTGGTATATATTTAAGCTCTTTATTTGATCTGTTTTCAGATGTGTGATCTGTATGCTGGACTTTGTATACGGGGACCCCATCCGGTTCCTGCCATGTATGCACATCTACCACATGGACTGTATAGACGACTGGCTGATGAGATCCTTCACCTGCCCCTCCTGCATGGAGCCCGTGGATGCTGCCCTGCTCTCCACCTACGAGACCAACTGATGTTTCACCCCTCCCCCTCCAGGCTTAGATCAGACACGCCCCCTTCAACCCCAATCACACACACAAAACCAACACCTGCCCTCTTATAGATTGAGAGGCGCTAAAAATGTGTCCGCTGTTTTCTTGCACTTTGAAAAATTCCTGAAAATACCTAATGTTGGCCTTCCACGCCCCCAGGTCTAAATAAGCTGGTCTTAAACATCAGTTACACAAATTAGTAAGAAAGCGTTTCCAGACGACCCTGCGTGATTGTGTTTGTGTCCGTTTGTCATGCTGAAGCAGCGTCCAGGGTTGCTGCTGACTGTGAGCACGTGGTGTGGGGTGTGTGTGTGTGTGTGTTTGTGTGTTTGTGTGTGCGTGCAGTTTGGGCTGTTTGATGACTCTGCATTTCCACTTGAGCCGGCCTCAGTGGAATTTCTCCCAGACTGACCCCAGTTCACCTTCATTCCCACTTAGTCTTTAAAATGGATAATTACATAACAGATTATTGACCAAAATGCTCTGAGGTGTTGCTAGAAAGGTTTTCTGTGACAACAGTAAGCAAAGACTTCCTCAACATATTGATCTCCTAAACATGCTTACACATTAAAATGGCCCTATACTTTGGAGATATGGGAATGCACAGCTGAAGTTTACACTGTTGGTGTTAGATAATAAAGAAGAAATTGCTCTCCAGGTAGTCAGGTTTACAAAACAGTTATGTAGACACTTAACAGAAATCACCCAAAATGTATAAGTACACCTAAAGGAGATCATGGCTACGTAATATTTGACGTGATTAGAAAACGCTTAGAGTTGAAAGGGAAAAATATTTTTTCACCAGACGGTATGTAAAGTAGCTGGCAGCCAATGTAAAGGGCTCATTTGTGCATGGGCAGGTGGATCAGTCAGTCAAAAATTAGAAATGCTTGCACACACGTTTCATCTGATCCAGAGATTTGCACTTTACTTATAGGACAGTATCTAAACAATATATTAATATATGTACCTTATAACCTTGCACTATCAATACTTCATTCCTTTATTTCCTGAGATGCAAAAGTTATATAGCTGATAAAGATATTTTCAAAGCTGTCAGTAGTCACTTATCACGTTCACGTTGAAGTAAGCCTGAAGATGTATTTCATGAAATCTGTGATTCAGTAGTGTGAGCCTCCGCTTTGTTCTGCTTGATTTTTGATTTTTGTGTGTAAGTGAAGGGACAGAGGCTTGCTCCGGTTTAAAAGGAGTCGTTCAATATTTTGGGAAATATCGTTGCCAGGAGTTAAATGAGAAGACTGACACCGATCTGTGCGTTAAGTAAGGAGCTGGAGCCAGGAGGTGATAAACTCAGCATAAAGACTAAGCTGGGGGAAATGGCTAGCATGGCTCCACAGCTCAAACAAATGCCTACCAGCACCTCTAAAGCTCAGTATTTTTTGTGGTTTTCTGTGGAGTTAAGTGCTGTTCCACAGTTAATTCTACCAACATGTGACTCCCATTTATGTACAGATAAAACACATGAGATACAACGTGTTGATTAACTGTAGAGGTGCTAGTAGGCCGATGTTGTTTTTACTTTGGACACAAACAGGCTAGCAGTTTCCCCCTGCTTTATGCGAAGCTAAGCCAGTTGCCTCCCTTGTCTAACGTTAAACAGATTACAGCTGTATCAATCTTCTCACCTCTTGGCAAGGAAGTGAATAAGTGCATTTCCCAAAATGTCAAACTGTTCCTTTTAAAGAAAGAAAAGAAACCAAATTTAAGGTAAACTTGAAACAGTTTATTTTGAATCCACATTAGTCACTTTCTTTATTATATGTCACATTATTTGTTTTATTACACTATAATTGATGTTTTGTTGCTTTACATTCATTCACTGTAGCAGTAGTTCATTGTTTGGTAATAGTGTGTCTATTTTCTGTTCGCTGTGTTTTATCTACTACCTTTACATAATTTGTTACATTTATGTAAAATCCACTGTGTATTTAGGACAGTAAGTAGTTGACTTTTACACTGGTTTACGCCTGATTGTGCAGACCTCTGTTCCAAATGAATTGTGTGAGAGACTTCTTTTATGGTGTGATAGTTACAGCTGAGATATCAAGTTTTCCATTAAGCTTTTCCTTTGCTGTGTTTTTCAGCTTAAGTTTATTCAGAAAATTAATATTTCCTGTAATCTTGTTTTATTTCTTTTTTTTGGAAGGCTAGAAAGCCGTCATGTAAAAAAAAAAATAAACATGAAAAAAACTGTTGGTTTAGTGTTTAATTAAGAAAAGGCAGTCACTCTGCTCTACTATACGATCACGAAGTGGACTGGATTTGTGCCCCTATGATTACCAAAATGAGAGATTACAGAATGCATGATTGCAAAATATCCCTTTGAGCCTTTCATTAATGCAATCCTAAAATCTGGCAGTGAGGTGGAAAACGTGACTACATAATCGGGGCACTCTGTTCGACTGATCCAAGCCATACTACTCATGTTTGATGCTTTGTTTCCTCTGCTTGCATCAGCTGAGGAAGAAACCTGTGTTTTATATGTGACGCACAAACAGAATGAAATTTGAATTACAAAAACAGAAGGTAAATTTTCACCTCAGCCCGTCCACACAAGATCCATTCATTCCAAAGGTATGCCTTTGAATCTTTTGTTTAATGAACTGTGGGATCATGACATTATGTACAAGGGCCACATGTCCATCTTTATGCACTTAAAGAGAATTATTGATTGCAACATGCCCTTTCTTTCTTTTTTCTTTCTTCAGATTAAGCAGTGACGCAGTTAATCAGCTTTGCAGTGCTGCAAGATCTGAGATCAGATTCAGTCAACATTGAGCAACACAATAAGGATAGACATGGAAAGGTCACTTGTGTCTGTATGTTTTTGTGTGGCAACATTTTAAATCTACAAATATCTCAAGAATTTTAAACTGAAGGATTATTTGTTGTGTCAAATGATCTATAATATATCAAGAGAAATGCCTACTTGTTTTAAGAAAACACTAAGCCTCACAAATGTAACGCAGGTTATTTTGACCCCCTAAAAATGTATTTTGGCCTAGCTGGCAGCTGGCAGGGATTCAGAAGTAGATAACAAAGCCATAAATATCCAGTTTCACAGATGATTTACTCAGTCTACCACGTAAGAGAAGAATACAAAACAAACAGGTTTTGATTTTGTCAAATTTATTATTTAAATATTCACAGCATGTGAACAAATCCATATTTTCTTTAATTAAACCAATGCTGACAGCAATTCAGGGTTAGAAATCCAAGTACATTCAGGGTAGGACATGGCAACTACACTCAAAAAGGCACGTAAATTCACATAATATTTGAATTTGTCGTCTGCAGATTAGAACATACCACCATTTTGGCTGATAGAGCTTTATTTCTTCTTGACGTGATGATACATTTAGTCATTATTTAAGTGGCGATTGATAACCCAGTAATGGCCGACTACTACTGACAACCTTAGAAAAGACTCATTAGGGTTTGTACATCCCATGAAAGGTGACAGGAATGGTGCAGTCCACTTCTGCCCTGGCGACCTCAGACAGATCCTTGGCGTTGAGGATGAGGAGGTAACCTGGTCTCTGGGAGCCGGGAGCCGCCACGATGGTCAGCAGCACTCCTGAAGGCACAGCATCACATTCCCATAAAACAATTCCTATCCTAGTTGGTGTCAGATTAAATATATCGTGTTTATATTGCTGTTGACATACCATCATCCTCATCCACCCCATCAGGAGTCTGAACAAACAGGGGCTCTGAGGGGTAGGAGTCTGGTTCCTGCCATACCCAGGTCTCCTTGGTCTTCACATTCAACTTGCAGATCTACACACGAGTTAAGACAAAACCGGTAAAGGAAAAAGCTTGTTTTACAAACTCATTTACAATTTAAGGTATTTTGCTAACTTACCCTGTCTGGTATGAAATGATTGAGACCCAGGCCGTAGGCATATGTGTAGTTCTTCCCTCCATACCTCTTATAGTTGATCTGAGGGAACTCAAAGGCTACAAAAACAACATTAAAATGGTTACATAATGACGATATTTCCAGTATATATTAAAGATTAATGCATCCACCATGGTTCAATGAAATGTGTTTGCACCTTGGCGAGGCCCAGAGAACAGCACCTCCGGCTCCAGCCAGATCATCCCATCAGCGTGCATGGTCGCTGTGGCTGTGGTGTACGGCAGGCTAACAAGGTTCTTCCCCTGCTCCTCCTATGTCAAGTCAGCAAAGAGATGTGAGCAAAAAACACGGGACTTTACATTTATAGGTGGCAATTTGCAGTTTGAGGGAAACAGGGGACTCACCTTGTGGACGTCCAGGGGAATAACATATCTGCGGACTTCTGGCTGTGGGGCCATCATGGCTGCCTTCTTCACCTCTTCCCAGTTGGCTCTCAGGTTGGCCAACCAGAGGTAGTTGTACACAAACTCAAAACTGCACAAATGAACAGATAATGAACAACAATATCTCCGCATCGCACAGAAGATATTACGGAAGCTCTGTAAGGCAAGTGAATTAGTTTTTTTCTCATGATCATTTTTTTGTTTTTTTTCACAGGTGACAAAAAATAAATGTTCTCCTGGTTTTGCAGGCAAAAACTATTTAAAACTTGACCTTGAAAAAAATAAATCCCCTGTTTTCACGGGTGAATTTAAAAAAACCTGTTTTCAAAGATAAAAAAAACTTGAGTTTGTCTTTTATGATCATAAGAAAAAAGAAATTAGGGTTTCCATAAGATATACAGGAAGGTTTCAACAGAAGTCCATCATTAAGCTTTCCCTTACCCTTTCCATGAACACAGGTCAACAACAATGAAGCCTTGGTCCTCATAGGTGTTGATGTGATGAAACATGCCAATGGGTGCACCCTTGAACTTGAGATCAATGTACTCTCCTGGGTCTTTCTTGGCAATGTGAAACAAGGTCTATAACACATACATCAGAATAGATATCATGAGATTTCGAGGGCAGAGATGATAATAATACTGGGGCTTAGAACACTTAAAATCTTCAAAGATATCAATCTGCTCCGAGTTCTTACTCCTTGGCTCTCATTGGACTCGAAACAGTCCATGTAGTTGGAGCCTCGGATGCTCCAAGCACTCAGGAATTTCAGCAGGTTGATTTTCACGGGGGTCTCCACAAACACAAAGTAGTTTTCCGACATGCCGAAGCTGGAGTTAGTTAAAGGAGATTGTCAAAACATGGACGTTCTATGACAACATGCACAAAATGGATTATTGATATCAATCCTGTGTGCTAGAGTCACACACACACCTGTGCACATAGGAGGGCTTGAACCTCTCGGCACTGGGGAACTGCACCACCACCTTGGACTTCTCAATGGGATCAGACTTATCTAAGAAAAAAGTTTGTGATATTTAAAACAGGCGTCAAGTTCATACTGCAATTCCTAATTATGATGTCAATGCTTAATACACTGTTTGTCAACATTTCCAGGGGCAAAATAGAAGTCATTGTGCTCAGTTTAATCACTTGATAATAACTGAATGAGCTCCAGGGGACCCTGAGAGAGAAAACATCTTCTATAAGACATTTTTCAAGGTTTTTAGTAGGGTCACACCATTTAACCCTGAATCATTAACGAGAATATTCTGGTTTCAAAAACTGAGTTTGAGGTGAGGTCACTATTGTTGAAGTGCCTGTGTGTGTTTGTTGCCAGCGCTGATCCGAACCTTTCTGTGTGGGTGGGGTCTTGACAATGTTGTAGGCCAATGTAGCTCCTTTTCCCATGCAGTTTCCAATGTTATACACTGTACCATCTTTTTCAATATGAGGGTGGGCTGTCACTCCATTAATGTTCACATAGTCGCACATATCAACCTGGATGGAAAATAAGACATTTTACTGGGCTCTCTGAAATAACGTGGTAAAGATCAGTTTTTTACATTTTAAATTCTATGACACATTTGTATTGACGTACCTTCTTCAGTGTCTCCAAGGTATCAGTGTTCACTTTTGTGATGTAGTTGGTTTCAGTTACAGCATAATAATCCTCACCAACAGGGTAAACGTTCACCAGGCAGTTGTCTGTGACCTCAACACCCTTGAAGTAAGAGAAAAACCTGCAAAAAAAGATTGCATGTCATATAAACACATTGTAAAAAGGTAATGGTCATGTCAAGAGTAAGCAGTGTAATGAATAAAGAAAGCTAAAAGAAAATTGGCTGGAGGAGTTTGTCGACTTTAAAGTACATTTTCAGTTCATTCAGCATGCAACCCACCTGGAGAAAATATTTTTGCAGGGATCAGGGTATGCACAGGTGCCAAACTCAGTGATCACAACACGCTTCTCTGTGATGGCTCTCACGTATGCATCTGTCAGGATAAACCTAAAAGGAGGAAATATTGGAAAAGAAAACCAAAACATTATACATCCATTTTAAAAAACAAAAAATGCTTAATTGAAATTCATTGTTTAATATTTTGAGAAATCTATCCCCAAAAGGCTACCTATTAAATAAATGTGTTAACATTACAGTAATACAGCTGTGTGTCAGCAGCAAAGGTTTTTAAGTTTCTCATCTCTATAAATAAAACCCTACCTCACTCAGTAAGTAAATAAATAAGCATGAGGAAGATAAACTTGCAGAGAACTGTACCTTGCTAGATACAATATCATTTAATGGTGTTTGCACAGCCTTTACCATACAACAATTAGATGGAGACTTGATGTGCACTCATTCTCGAGTTTCGCTGCAGATTGATTTTGCTACATGCCATTAACGTATATATCCTGAAATAATGAATAAACACTGGTATTATCCTGATGGTCTTACTTTCGGTAGTAGGTGACCTGGCCGTTCTTGAAGTCAAATTTGTGCATGAGGGCCTGGCCATCAAAGAGGTGATAGAAAGGTTCATCTCCAACCTCAAAAAGTCCAGGTCCCAAACGGAGAAGACTTCCCTTCAGAAATGTAGGAATCCTACCTGTGAAACAACAACATAACAAACACAAATCAGAGATTGTTTTGGACTGTATCGGTTTGTAAAATTGGTTTCAGATCCTACTTTGGATGCAGGTTGTGTTTTCTCTGCAATCAGACTGTGAAAGAAGTATTGGCCTGCAGTCTATTTCTGTCTGAAAGATGCAAACAAACCTGTGACTGTTGCGGGAAGAGGCTCAGACAGATCCTCACATGTCTCAAAAATCTTCTTGTAGCTACCAGCTGGGTGTTCAAATCTGTGATCAAAAAGTGAAGACATCCACATTGGCAGCCAAGTAAATTCAATTTCAAGCAAGTTAAAGATATGAAGTTGGTTAGTTTAAGTCTTTAAAAACTTGTATTTTGTATTGTACTTTGTATTTGAAATAGTTATAATTTATCATAAACTCACCGGCTGGCCATGTTTCCTTCTTGTTGTGGCACCACACGAAGCAAACTTAAGAAAACCTCAGGTCACTTCTGGAGTGGAAGTCTCTGGTCTCCCTGGGGATTTGCGGTATTTATTCATCTAGTCCCCCTCATGGTCACTGCAATCTGCACTGTAAACCTTTGCCTGGCCAATCATGTCACGCTGTGAACAAGAATCCCATTGTGCCAATATCCTCTGCTGACTGACTCCACGGCCACCCCTCTGAAACCGGATTTATAGCAGGGAATATTTAAGAACTGGCAAGTGTGTCACAATAGTGCATGTGATTTTTTTTTTCAGTTGTATCAGTTGGTCAGATTTTGTGTTGTAGTTATGCTGAGTCACACTAAGTGCAGTAGTATTGATACAATGCATAGGGCTACAAAACAGCATAAAGGAAGTCAACAGAAGTGGATTTGGATTTGAATTCATGTGTGATCCACATTTATTGACAAATCGACAGCTTCGGTTACATGAGTGTTAGTGGCACACTTTTTGATTTCTAGAGGTGTGAATTTATAGGAAAAAAATCTGGATTAAGCCTAAATTCGCCAACCTCTTAGTACATCACTCACAATAAAACAATAACAACAATGTTATTTTAGATTAAATAGTGTTTTCTATTTTAATAAAATAGTAAGGGATCAGAATCATTGTGAAACAATAACAGTAAAGCTTCCCTGCTATTATTAGAGGATCTGGAACAATATGACCGTTACACACAATGCTAATTGGAAGAAATGGGGCCAGTGGTTCTTTGGTCTGAACACAAAATGCCTTAACTTGCTTGTCTCGGTGCAACTATAATCCAGGTATAGGGATTATGTTCGACGTAGCCTGAAGACAAACGCTGCATTGTTTCTCCTGGGAAAAAACACCATTAGTAGAGAGAGTTTCACCAGAAGCTGTTTTGTCAGTGGTAGAGTTGTGATGTGGCTCCTCCAGCCAGCACGTGGACTGACTTTAACCAGCAATATAAAACAGGCACAGGCTTTTTTATGATAATCTATTAATAAGAAAGAAAGTGTCAGTTATTGAATACTACATGTGTTTGTATTGTAATTCCTATTCTGAACTTCTTAAATCTTGGCCCTGACAAATACTTCCATAAAAAGACTAATACTGAAACTGATAAAAACTAAACATTTTTAACTAAACGAGAAAACCCACTTTGGAAATCTACTGAAACTAAACTGAACTGAAAACTAAAATGAAAAAATAAATAAAAAAACAAACTAATATCAATATCAATATACTGCCAATACTTTCAGTCAGTCTGGAAAACAATGTTTATACTGTTTGACAAAACCATACTAACTCATAATCCACCTAAAATGTGTCAAATTTGAACATTATGTCTATTCATTAATTCCATAAATTCCCTGAAAAATTTTGAATATTTGGGAATTTATGACAGTTATCCAAATATCTGAATAAGATAAGATAAGATAAGATAGGATAAGATAGAGTTTATTGATCCCACACTAGTGAAATCCACTTGCTACATCAGCTTCAGCTACAACACAACAGATACAAATAAAACAAACAAAATACAATAGAAAAAGAACACCAGATATAATAAAAAAAAGAATAAAAAAAAGAGTTGTATGTACACTGTATACAGCTTTTATGTGATTGCTATAGAATATTGCACAGGTTACAACAGGGATCGGAAAACATAATGAATATATTGTGCAATATATAATGCAAGTAGTGTATTAAATAGTGCAGAAAGTGAAGTAATAATGTAATAATGTCATAGTCTACAGTGTTTTGATGTGTGAATGACGTTCAAACGTTAAAAACTGTGGAACTAGTTAAATGACGGAGGACTAACACACAATTGTGTGCGTAGAAGAAGAAGTGAATTCTTCCAGCATCGTGAACGGCGTTCCCACCTAACTACACGCATGCGCACTTCGTTCGACGATGACAATATGGCGGCGTAAAGCTACAGCCTGTTGATGTTACCCGCTAGCTAACCTGCAAAGTAGCTGATTTGATAACCGTTGGATAACCGTTACTTTAATGTAAATCGAGTTGTTGACGGTGTGTTGTTGTTGTTGTCCAAACGGGTTTAATCGGGGGAAAATGAATTACACCACGAAGGTGGTCCAGGTGACGAATGTGTCCCCAAGCACAACATCGGAGCAGATGAGAACACTGTTCGGGTTTTTGGGAACCATCGAAGAACTGAAGTTATTTCCACCAGAGTGAGTTGACAAGCTGGTGATTTACTGGTTCACATTAATGTTAACGCAGCCACTGATGAACTGTGTGTGTGTTTGGTTGGTTTTTATTATAACTAACGTCACCTTATCAGAACAGAAACGTAACGTTAACGTAACGTTAGGCCTTAAATAACAGTAACTGAACGTTACTATACCAACTGACACCAACTGACGTTTCACTAACGTTTCTGAACTGGAGCAAGTAATGAAGTTAAAATATTAAATGGGGTAACGAATATGTACTTTCTTATGTTATTTTGGGTTGTAACATTAATTTAGTGTTTTGCTTGAAATCATCATTCAAATTCCTCTCAGCATAACAAAGGATGATAGAAAAAATACTCAAAATATGAATATGTCATTACTAACGCCATCATAAGAAAGACAAATGTTTGACTTTTGACTGATTTATATTTTGCCATACAATGTCACAGTCTTTACCCAATAATATATCATAATTTCCCACTTACTATCATGATTTTTTACTTTGAACTAAAAACATTGATGCAGATTACAAAATCTAAAAGTGAGAGACCAGCTAACAGCACTGATCCTGGCCTTGATTTTTATGGGGATCATTGATGGGACTCAAACCTTGCATAATGTCCGTGGCAGGGTTGGGAGCGTAAGTGTGAAAATGTAATCCGATACAATAACTAATAACCTGTTATAAAACGTAGTCAGTAACCTAATCCAAGTATCACAATATTACGTAACTTGATTCCTTTCCATTACTTTTGGTTCACCTCAACACCAATTATCCAAACACAGACAAGGGTCCATGGTTGGATCAAAAGACTGGACAAAAAAAGACCAAAGATGCACTGAAATATTGCAGTTTTGTAATAATAAAATGTAATATTTTGACTTCCTCAACAGTGACTCCCCGATGCCGATGACATCGCGGGTTTGCTTTGTGAAGTTCCAGGAGCCAGAGTCTGTTGGAGTGTCTCAGCATCTGACTAACACCGTGTTTGTGGACAGAGCATTGATCGTGGTCCCGTTCGCTGAAGGTTTGTCTCATCCTTATTCTCTTGTATGAGTGGTCAATGTTGATTGAATGGCATAACTCTTGAATAGTGAAAATGTAAAAGAGTAAAAAAAGATTTCATTTATCCCATTTGTGAATTGCACAAGTCAACTCACCTTGGCCTGTTTATGTGAGCTTTATGAGATAATTTGAATGATACTGGTAATGCCGTTCCCTCCTGTTGTCTATAAGATGTTCTTAAAGCAGCAGATTCTTGGTATACTGTGGTAGCACCTCCCATATCTGTTTTACCACCACAATGATAATTTCTTAATAAGACTGGATTTTATGTCTTTGGGGAAATATATATCATGCTGTATGTCTCTGCCTAAAACAACCATTTGTCCTGTATTTAGAAAGTGCAGTATACCAAAATCTGCTTTACAGAGTAGGAGTTGAATACTCCCAAACTGCAGGCGCCGCAGACACCTCAAAATTCAAAAGTGAAGTTGTGTAAACTCTTAACCATATGCATTTTATTTTTCTCCCCCATATTGGACTTTCCCCTGTTAAACTTCTCTCTGTTATTTGTGTGTGTGTATGTGTGTGTGTGTATGTGATTTTTGTAGTGAAGAAGGCAAAAGCAGCCCCCTCGTTGATGGCTGAAAGTGGTCCTCTGCCTGCCAACAGGGGATTATAGGCATTTTCAAAGGCCAGCAAGCATTCAAGTCCCCACCCCACTCTTTTTGTGTCCTCTTCTCTTTCTCTGCCTTCTCTTTCTCTTTCCTTCTGTCTAATTTATCTTTTCTAGGTGGTTTAGAGTATAAAGGTCAGATATCGTGGACATACCCTGAAACAGTGGTCATTTTGCATTGTTTTGCAACACTTCTGAATGCTGCTTAGCCATTCATTTCATGGCTACAGCATCTCCCTAACGGTTAAGGCTGGCAGTATTCTTTATTATTTTTTGTTAACAAATCCCATGAAGACCAAAAGACCATTAAATGTACGTCAGTGAGCCACACCTGTGCACTAGATCACATGTTTGTCCATTATAATGAATGCAGGCCCTAGCACAGGCATCGTCCTGCACCAGGTAATACTAGCTAGCACACCTAATGTATATTAATCCGCCACTGAAAATAGTCCCTAACCAGGTATAGAAGTAGAAAGTATTGAGAGATGGACTACCATATTGTTGGTGTTGGTATTTTCATGGGATTTGTTGACAAAAACCAAAACGTTGAATCTCACCAGCCCTATCCGAGAAAACTATGTAAATTAAGTCTTGGAAGAAAAAGCTTTCAAAAGCATTTATTTTGGTATGGTGGCAAAAAAGTTCTACAAAGATGCTGGGTGTGAATGATTACAGAAGACACTGCACAGACATACTTAACCATATGTGAGCAGCTAATTTTGGGACTTAACAAAGGGAAAACTAGTCAGTTATTGGTTGTCTTACATAATAGTCATACTGAATCTCATCATAAGTTGTCTTAGATGCCCACCTGACATGACACAATGTTGGTAAAATATATTCTCTTTAACAGTGGTCTTCTTTTGTTGTTGTGTTTTACAGTTCTTTTTCCTGGCTCAGCCAGTCCTGTATACCAGGCCCTGCTGAAAATACCATCCAACAGTTTTGTCTCCTGCAGCAATTTCTCTTCAGTGTGCTCTTTTATTTCAATGTTGTCATTGTTGTGTGTTCGTATTAAGGTCATGTATTTTTGTGAAAGAGTTGTTTTTGGGCTGGATTTACTGTGTGATGATTATATGGTGTTTTTTTTGTTAATTTGGGCCATTTTAAAAATAAAATCAAGGGCATATTGCAAATAAAGAAAATAAAAATTGGTAGCGCAGATTAATCAAACCAGGTTTGCTGCCTTGGTTTGGTTAATTGATGCGGTGGCAGGTAAGGATACTAGAATAATGATGTACAGCAGACACGCTACCCACCCTGAATTCTGCTATTGTCATTGAGTATATCTGACATTTGTGTTTTTGGTAAGTAGACACTGATAGCTTGTATAGTGTTCTTGCCAAATCCCTAAAATTCTCTCTGTTGTGTGTATCTCGATTTTTCTCTGTGTGCTTTTAGTAGCGAAGCCGCCAACGTGAGTCGCTTGTTTCAGTAAACGTCTAAATGAAAATTGAGGGCACACCCAACTGGAGAAGCAGCTGTGCTTGCTAACGTTTGGTTCATGACTTAAAAAACACGTTCAGGTGATATATTCTTGGCAGTGTTCATTGGAGTAGTGTGATATAATCCAGCATTAGTTATGTCACTGCAATGATTATGTTGAATTAAGGGAACTCTTCTCTGATCTGTAAGGTAACCATTTTGTTGAACCTAATTTGGAGAAATGCAGTGTGAAGACTTTTTTTCTTTGCCTTTTCCAAAATGTCTTCTCTGTAGTTTATGAGTGTGAAGTTCTCTCCTAATGCCTGTTTTCATTTTCCTGTAGGATCTATTCCAGATGAGGCGAAAGCTTTGTCACTGTTGGCGCCAGCAAACGCTGTTGCAGGAATTCTGCCAGGAGGAGGACTTCTTCCGACGCCCAATCCCATCTCCAATCCAGCTGTAAGAAATGCGCTGTTTAGTATAAATTCTCTGACTATGGGAACACCTATCATCATCTATCAGCTACTGCAGGACCTTACAGAAAATGATTCAAATGTAAATTTGCTGTTGTCTGTCTTATACAATTTGTAAATGTGATGTGAACACAGTGTGGCTGCATTTTTTACAAGAAATGTATTGTATGTGTTGTTATGCTGACCAGGAGTCCATAGAGAAACTTCCGTTATTTTAGTTGATGAAACAATTTCACCTCAAAGTCCATTTGGTAGCAGTTCTGCAGCGTTAGATCATATCGCATGATCTTCATCAGAACATGGAGTTTGCTCAGTTTGTCATGTCAATTCTAGATGTTCTAATGGCATTTGTGTCTGAGCACTTAAAGGACTTGTTAGCTTAAAAGTTAATTCTCTAACAGCCGTTTTGGTGTAATTCGAGTTTCTTTTAAACAATCCGAAAAATGATTTCAATAGGTGGGTGAATAATGAAGGTCAATACAACAATAGGCAGGCATAACAAACGTGTTTGTTTTCATTCCAGATGGGAAACCCTTTTGGAGCTCCGAACATGGATGCAATGGCTGCATTTGGATTCCCAGGAGCCAATATGAACCCCCAGGTGAGAGGTTTGCCTGAATGACACTGACTTAAAAAACTTTAGATATGTTAGATATGCAGTATGTCTGACAAACGTTCTTCCTGCTGTTTTTTACAGGCTGCTGATCAGCTGTTAAAGTTCATGACAGATCCGAAGTAAGTCATTTTAAAGAAGCTCCTTGAGAAGTCCTCTGAAAATTGTGCCAGAAGGCAGTTTTAAATTGCAGAGTAAAAAAATAGATGTGTCTGTGTATTTGTAGAAATGATGAGTCAACTAATTAATATTCCTTTGTTTAGATTGAATCCTTTGGCTGCAGGATTAAACCTGAGTGCGAGCCTGAAGGCTGACGCATCAAATAAAGAGATCGAAGAGGCCATGAAGAGAGTCAGAGAGGCCCAGTCGCTAATTTCTGCTGCTATTGAACCTGGAAGTAAGTTCTTATTTTCCTAGTTTTTGTCTTGTGAAAAGAGCCTTTGTAAATTGACAATACTAAGCAATGTCTGTTTTTCTGTCCTGCAGATAAGGAGAGCAAAAAGGGGCAAGCTCAGTCCCGGACCAGGTCCAGGTCCAGAAGGAGAAGGTCCAGATCACGGTCAAGACACAGGTGATAACCTATGTTAATAATATGAAGAGTTGAGATGGAAAAGCCTTTTGTGTTTTGAGAATAAAGTGAAATGGTCTTAATGGTTGCAGGCGAACTAGGAGCAGATCAAAGCGACGGTCAAACTCCAGAAACAGGAGACGCTCCAAAAGTCCGCGCAGGAAACGCACCCACTCCAGAGACCGAAGCAGGCGATCTCGAAGCAGATCCAGGTGGGTTAACTGTTGAGCCTGCCTTATCACCATGATTGTTAAAGATGGAATTGAGCCTGTCTGAGGTCTTACATAAGATTTATTTATAGAGACAGAAAGAAAGATGATTCGGGGAGAAGAAAATCCAAAACGCCACCGAAAAGCTACAGCACAGCAAGGAGGTCGCGCAGCGGGAGCCGGTGAGTACAGCAAAGGTTACATGTGAAAATATATACAAACTTTTATACGATATATCTATTTTCAGTTTTCTAAGTTCTTTTTGTCCTGTTCTGCTAAACAGGAGACGCAAGAGAAGTCGAAGCGGCAGCCGATCCCCTAAAAAATCTCCTAGAAGAAAGATTTCCAAGTCTCCATCTCCTCGAAGGTTGGTGTGAAACAGTTGTGGACAATACCAACAAGTTATTTTATTTGTATTTTAGTTTATTAAGTCAGGAAGGTTCCATTAAGATATAAGATCTCTGGTCAAGATGGCAGCATAAGCAGTTATACATAAAAAGCAATTTCACAACACAAGGGAATGATGAAAGAAGAGAGGCTATAGTATCACTGCACCCTATATAAAGTGTATGATGAAATACATTTTTTAAAACTATAACAGCTACTTTTTTCTCCTATTCTGTTTGGTTCAGTTAAAACATACTCTGGTATGTTTGCACATTTGGTGCAGATCAAATAAACCAAATATCCTTTGTGTGAGTACATCCAGGACAAGACTTTTCCTCTCTTCCTTATACAGACACAAGAAGGAAAAGAAAAAGGATAAGGTAAGGGACTGGGACCGCAAGAGTGAAAAAGAGCGCAGTCGCGAGGAACATGAACGCTCCACCAGCAAGAAAAAGAAAAGTAAAGACAAAGAACGAGAGCGAGAGAGGAAGTCAGATGGTGAGAAAGGAGATGTCAAGGTTGGTATAGTATATTTGACACGCAGTCTTCATTCTTACACACTGGGAGCTTTGCTTTTTCTGATGTAAACCAGACTCAGGGGGGTGTTTATGCTTTAAAATGGCACATCCATTGGTTTCCTTTCACAGATCACCAGGGATTATGATGAAGAGGAACAAGGCTATGACAGCGAGAAGGAGCGAGAGGACAGGAAGGATTCTGATGACTCTGCTTTGTCTCCCCAGTCTGTGGAAGGTAACGGCACTGCAAGGTCTGTGAAGCAGGCCAAAGTTAACGGAGCTGACGATCACCACGAAGAGGACATGGATGTCAGCGATTAAGTCCTCCGTCCTGCTTTGTTCCACATTATCCCTCCGTTTTGGCTGTGAGTTTTTTTTTCCTCCCACTGGGGTAAATCCAAAATGTGAAGTGAATTATATAGATTTTCTGCACAGAAGTGGTTTACTCTTTGCAAATATACAATGCAGAATTGTCAGTTTTGCCCAAAGACATTGTCACATTGCTTTAAAGTACCCCCTGTGCCCTCTACAAATGTAATCGGTTTAAAACTGGAAGTAGGCTTGTTTTGCTTTTCTTGAGCTTGTGTTGTCAGGTTTTGTTACTTCCTCACATATTGAATCTTTACGTTTGTTTAGCGTTGTGGTGTGTTGCTCAGGCATCTTCCCCACCTTCTTGAAACTGTTAGTTTGTTTTATCAAGGATTTCTTTTATAATAAAGCCTATTTGGAGAACAAAGACTTTTACTTTATGGTTCTGCATGGCATTTGGAAGGAGGGGCGGGTTCATGTGGATAAAACCTTCAATTAAAGTAACTGTACTTAATTTTACGTCACAATTATACATTTTCAAGAAAAGAACTATTGAGAAATAGTTGATGAACACAATCAGCAGATGGGAGCTGGAATGATATGATTAGTCATTTTATATCTTTTTTATAATTGTAATTTTCAAGCTAAAACATTTGATGATTCCAGCTTCTCAAATGTAAAATTGTCCTCATCTTAATTCAGAGTAATCTGAATATCTTCAGGTTTTGCACTGTTGGTCAGAGAAAACGACATTTCCCAGGGCTCTGAGGTTTTCATAGGCATTTTTTGATTTGTTATAGTCTAACAATCAGGAAAATTGGCAGATTTATAAAAAATTTAAATAATCATTAGCAGTAGCCCTTAAACCAGATTTATGTTTTTGGCTAAACTAGCAAAAACTGAAATTGAAGTACCATCACGTGCAAAAATCATATATAAAATCCTATATTGCCCCAAAGCAGTCCTGTTTATTCCCAGGAATACATTAAAGTGACATGCTGGTATAGCAAAATATGTGACTTGACAAATGACTTAACACCCACCCTTATTTGGAAGCCTCATAAACAATACTGCATTTTTATTATACTTGCACAAAGTCTGTTGAAACATGATGCTGGTGCTTTATTTAAAGGGATGTGAAGTAGGTATGGTTGCAGTACATATTAGCTGAAGCCAGAGACAACTCAATGGATCAGATTATTTTCCCATCTGGACAGTTGTGGAACATCCAGCAATATCAACTTCACAGCTTAGTTCACTCTCCTTCGACTGAAGAAAACAAAAACAAAAGGAAAAATATGCGCAGACTACCATCAAGGAGAGATTTTATAAGCACTAAAAGGTGTTTCAAAGTGTTAGTGTTACAATTTTCAGTTTTTCCTTTTATCCAAATACCAGCAAGTCTGCCGGTAATGTAACAAACGTTCAGAGAATATATCTTAAAGATGCATGTAATCCAGTAGGCCAACACAGCCATAGCATGCCTTAAATATACTTAATATCAGTGCAGTATTAAACTAAGAACAGTTTACCTGATATCCCATCTGGGTTCTTCCACACACAGACGTACATACAACAAACCCTTGATACAGTACAATTATTCACTCACACTGAGCACAGAATCCATACTATCACGACAAACATGGAGACAGCCGAGAGGTAACATGAGCGAACCTGAAAACACAGGAGACAGCCTCCTGCACAGGGGAAAAGGCTTGGATATCGAACTGTTAAGAATGTGTTTTTATGCTAAACCTTCTCCCAGCTGGTTAAAAACATTCTTAAGTACTGGAAATGTATTGCTACACAGTGTTTACTCCATTGAGTATATATATATATATATATATATATATATATATATATATGTACATCATTTATAAATGAATATTAAGCTCAGTTTGAGGATATAGCTATATTTGTGATTCCTTTTGTTATGAATTACAGATGAGACGTGAATTAATTACAGATGATGGTGTCAGTGCAGTTTCAAGAATGAGAATTCGGTAATCAGTCCTTGGAGAGGAGAAGATATTAAAATAGTGACGATGAAGAGTCCAGACTTTGTCTTCTGACAGCTTTCACAGGAGAGAACAGCAGCACAGAGCAGCAGCTTAAACTGCTCAGGTGGTGAACGGCGAGTACACTGAAAGCTATCACTCATTTCACAAAAAACGACTGCCGATATGCATCTATAGGTGAGATGGCGCTCTGTAACATCTGTTTGGATTGGTTTGCTTTGGATCCATCAGCAAAATGAACAATAACTGACCAGTTCCCTTTTTTTCTCCTTTCTTTTTCTTATGAATAAAACAATACAGGATTCCTCATTTTTGTTTCCCACCTCCCAAACATATAAGCTTGCTGGTCATTTCCTGTTTGTGTCAGATGTGTTTTACAGGTCAGAGGTCGGGAAAGCGACTGGGATCTTCTTTGTATTCGGCAGGGATGAAGAAAATAGACTCCTCAAATTCATCATAGCGGAATTCCTGAAATGTGACAGTTGCTGTGATCGTTGGGAAGACGGGGATGTCTGCGAGGGAGAAAACAGAAGAAGAAGAAGAAGAAACGTGTTACATTTGTGATGGTTACTCTCAAGCTCACCCACTCAGGTACACGGTGGAAGGTCGACATACATACCGAGTTTGACTGGAAACCCAGGCGGAAGTTTCATCTGAACAAACTCTCTGAGTTTGTTGAAGTGCTTGAACGGGGCAATGACTTCCAGCACGTTTAGTAACCTGGAGGCAGAGGAAAAATGAGTCAGCAGTTTCAAACACTTTCAGTCTTTTCTTTGCCGATATTTCCCATTAGGTACAGACAACCTCCTCGAAAACTGAACAAGAACAAAAAGGGGATTAGGTCAAACTGCAATTTGACATCTTCAGTGAATAAAGAATCTTTAGTACAGGCTTCATAACATAATAATATATACACTTATCAACAAAGCATGGAATAAAATAGGGGTTTCCAACCGTTTTTAGACCTTTGAGGGAGAAACAATGTCTCCTTCTATTTTACAGTACGTCTAAGAGTTGGAAGTAGTTCAACCAAAGAGTTGTGTACCCCGCTTAGACCGTTCCATTTGAATACATTTTAGTGTTTTACAATAAGAAATATATATTAGCAGCTGTGTGCTGTAAAGAGGCACAGATATGTGGTGGCTGTGGCTCAGAGGCAGAACGGGTCGTCCCCTAATCGAAGGTTGTTGGTTCGATCCCCGGCTCCTCCTGCCACATGTCGAAGTGTCCTTGAGCAAGATACTGAACCCCAAATTGCTCCTGATGCATCAGTGTGTGAATGTGTATGAATGAGTTAGTTTCTGTTTGATGGACTTTGCCGTGAATGTGTGAATGTGTGTGAAAGGGTGAATGTGGCACGTAGTGTGTGCTTTGAGTAGTCGGAAGACTACAAAGGCGCTATACAAGTACAGGTCCATTTACCATTTACCATACTCACAATGAAAACACTAACATTCTGATGTTACACAGGTATAACGTTTACCATCTAAGTTTAGCATGTTAGCATGCTGATAGTGTACCCATCGAACTGATTTGCTAATCAGTTGATAACCCTAGTTACGATTCTTCCTAAGGGCAACATGGATGTCTCCAAATTCCATGGCTATCAATCAGACGAATATTGTTGATTTAACTTAAAACCACAAATGTTAAAGTGAATTTTGAGTGAACAATTAAAATGTGTTGAATTAAAGTAAATCATTTTAAAATCTGTAGCTGAAATGTTAATAATCTTGTGACCCCTACCCCTACGAAATGAATCATTTGTATCCTGATATATCAGCTTTTAACAGAGGGTTTCCTCAGGGTCCACACAAACACTGGCTTTGTAGTTAGAATGAAAACTAAAGGGGCTGAGACTTAAAACCACCGGGTGTACTGGTGTAAAGTACAATAAATTTTTTTCAAGCCTTAGATAATGTGATCTGTAGCAAAACTAAATAATTTCTCTACAATCACTGGCCTCTTTTTGGTGATTAATGACATTAAAGTGAACATTTTAGGAGTAGGAAGTAGAACATATTTTTAACATTAGAAATCATATAATGTGCAGGGAAAAACAAAATCAAATTAAAAAACCATTAGCTATTATAAAGGGTGGGGTTTTATTGCTGCCTCCATTAAGGTTCATTCAGTAGAGGAGATAAAGCAATTTACTACATTAAGCACTGCCTGTAACCCATTACAGGCAAAAACAAAACCACATCCTGTTTGAATCATGCATCCTACTCAGTGTAACATGCCTCTTTCTTACATGATCACATGACTTGTTCTTGGCTGCATGAAATCAAACCTCAGATCAAAAATGCAGTTGATTTTATGTTTCCTGCATATAAGGAAATGTACAGCAGTCACACAGTTTCTTCTCAAGGCAATCAGTGGTCGTTAAAGCTTAAAGTAATATTGTGATTTACATTTTATCCATACATTTTTTTGACAATTCTAATTTCATCATCAGACAAAAACAAAAACAAAAACAAAAAATGAATAACCAGCAGCAGGTCTACATACAGATCATCTTCTATGGGTACACTATCAGGCAGATGTACTGGCAAATATATCAGCATCCAAAAATTGCAGTAATACAACTGCCATCCAGGCCATTTAGAAACACTGTCACCATTACATAGTTTGTCCACCAGAGAGCACTGACAGATTTGTTTTTCATCTACAAAAATAAATCTCTTTTTTTCTGTTTATGTACAAAACAAAACAATATTGGAAATATATCATTATTGGCTTTTTTAAAACTCTATTTAATATATTTCTTAACTCCCTCAAGAACCCTGTACAGGTCCTGAGACAAATGCTACAAGCTTGTGGATGCATGAAGTAAGGCAGTGGTTCTCAACCTGGTATGGGGACCCCCCCAGGGGTCCTTGAGAGTGTCCCCAGAAAATGTGGAATATAAACATTTGTAACTAAATATTATCAGACAGGGATCCTTAAGACTACATCTTATCAAATATGGGTCGATGGTCTGATGTGTATCAATTTTGGGGTCCTTGAGAACCACTGAAGTAAGACATAAGTGTATAGGAAATGAGAGAGAAATAAGTAATTTTCTTCAAACAGCCCAAGCATAGCTAGCAAGGGGGCCTCGCTGAGTTAAAAATAATGCAAACACTGTAATTTTGTTGTCACATGGTGGAGCAGTTGATTTGCAATCATCTCATCAGTGGCTCCCCCACACAATCAGAGAAACCCTTGTGCCTACCTGGCCTAATTATCGGATCCGAATAATTTCTTCTCCACACCACCCTGCTATAAAACCCTGAGTGTATTCACCCAGGATCAATCTGCGCAGAAGACTTTGTAAATAGATCTAAGGAGGAAGGGATGTACTTACGACTCTATGCCTAGAGGGAAATCCTGGCTCATGGCTACATTGGCTTTGAAGTTCTTCTTG